CTATACACTACACTATATTCCACCTAGCCCAGGAGCAGTATATTGTGAGTCCAGCTCTTATCATAAGAAGGAGATAAGCCCCGTAAATAACAGCCTACATCGAATCTCTTTTCCGCCGGGGTTTCTCATGCAAATTTCCATTCTTTGAGGCGCCACTAGCCGTGGCTTATCTTAATTTTCGAGTTGACATCGTAAAAGTGGGCCCAGATCTCACCGCCCTTCCTACATAATTGACTTATTTCAATAACAATGCTCTGGCGGCTACTTGTGTTTATTTTCTGGGGGTTTAACACGTCCAAAATTTTGTTTTTAATAAGTCTTTTGATTTTTTTTGTGTGAAAAACATGAGAATTACATTGTTTGGTACCTACAAAGGTATATTTGTATAAAAAAAAACAATATTCGATTAAAAAGCGTCGGAGAATTAATTATGTTTATTTCTGAAGGTTACACTACCACTACGCTTCTATGTAGTTTGTTCATAGGTCTATTGATGTTTTAAAAAAAATCTTGTTTTCATACATCTTATTTTCTTGTTCATAGACAACACACTTATGTACCAAGAGATCACCTTGAATCACTAAGCAACGTCTTACAATAGTATTTCGTACTTTACATTCAAGTGCCGAATTTTGCATGCTATTTGTCCCAAATCACACCAAGGCCCATTGCTCAATGTGCACAAAGAGCTTGAAATAACCACCGAAACGGGATCAGACGGAGCCATCGGCAACTGCACTCAACTCATCGTTATTCCAATGCATTGTGCAGCATCGAGGTTGGAGTATTTGGACAGGAAGCTGAAAATCCGGCTTTTACATATTTAAAACCGCTTTGTAAGCTGACAATAGGGCAAAACAAAGGTCAACAATAACACTAAGTGATGGACAACAGCGAAAATAGTCCCATCCGCGGCGCTGTGCTTCATTGGTTGTACGGATTTCAATTGTTTCCGCCGCTTTTTCTCCGTGTTTTGCGCCATGTTGCTTCACCCTATTTTGTTGTAATTAAATGCCGTTTGATCCCGGTTGCGGACTGTTTTGCGGATTTCGCCGGCTATTGTCCGTAAACAAGCGGTTACGGACTTTTTCAATTGAGTTGGGTGCGAAAAAGGATCGAGTTTCGATTATGACCCACTATGGTCTTAACTTAAGATACTCGTAATTTGAATAAAATGTGCCTGCTATTTATCCTTTGATTATATTCTAGAATTTGCTAAATAGTTTTCTCGTCCCAATTATATTATGTACCAACTGTTCTCCTTCTCTTTAATATTTGTATTTGCAATCAACGTGAATTTAACTTTATAATCTCGTTCCCACACAATTTAACATTTGCTATTCATACCCCTTGTGACAGAACCTGGAGATAATTTAACGATGGAAAACTTAAAACTTATTTAACTGTTCAAACGTTTTTGCAGTGCATTTTTCGAGAAAAAACACATAAATTAAATATTTTCTTCAAAAATTGTTGAATTTTAAATTTTTTACATACTTATCTTCTTAACCCTCCGACCTTCTGGGAAAGACCAGTCCCAGTTGCGCCTTGGCCAGTTGCGCCACACGGTAGCCCCGACTATCGGTTACCAAACGTCGTCATTACCTAGAAAGTGTCACCATCCCATCGCTCACCGCTCATCACCGCAAGCACGATTCTCATTGCGTTGCGCATTACCCACTTACCGCCCTCAAATTGTGTCCAAAACGGCGCCAAACCCCCTCCTTTACCCGCCAAAACTCCGAGCGTGACCGTCCGAGGTTGTTACGCGTAATGGGGCTTTAAATACCCCCACGGTATTTTGGGCCAATTTCCATCTTGCGAAATAGTTGGAATTAAGTTTGATAGCGAGACTTATTTTGTCTAATGAGTCAAACTAGTTGGAAAGTGGCTTTGTAGTATGTTACGTAATTTTTCGGTGAATTGTTTTGAGGTTTCGTAGTTTGGTTGACTAAACAAAAGTGTTTTTGGTTCATTTTTTTCTGTAAGGCAAGCCATGGTCTTAAAGTGCTTTATCCGGATGTACCGACGGAGGGCAGCGGCATTGTAACGAAGCAAGGAACCGTTTTGGATTGGCGGGGCTTGAACCCGGGACCTCAGTAATCGAAGCCCCACTCTACTAGACCAGATCGCTCACGGAGTTTTTTTTTTCGAAATTGACCATAAAGCACAATTTTCTCCCAACAGAATCATCTGTTTGTATGTTTAGCAACATCTGAAAACCACTAATTTAAAATTATTCATAAAAACCACCGCTGACTTAATTTACACCACTATCACTTATGATAAAGAGCCCTGGACGTAGGGGGTGAGGGTGGTAGCCGGAAATGGTCTCAAGCACCTACCCCCTTCCACCCCCTTGCATGGTGAGGAAACGGAAGTCGCGAGTTTCGGCGATGCCGCTTTCTTCTTCTTTCCCTCTAATCCCGCTCAATCCATTACTCGTTCCTTGGGGATCTCCTTGCATATCTTCTTATTTAGGACGTCTACGCATAAAGACCCTTCGGTGATAACTTACCGTTACGCGTTACTTACCAACGCTTTCTTCTCGGTCAGAGTGGGATAAAATTGTATTTCACATTTATTATTTTTGCTGTTGTTTATATTTTGGAATTATGGAACACAAAACCCCTGTGATGAGACATCAATGGAGTTAAGCATTTTAGCATTGCTATTCATCACATAAGGAATTGATTTTTTTATAGTTCGTTTTGTGTTATAAATGTATATGTTAATACACAAAGCAAGTTTTTTTATTATTATTTTAACACTAGCTGTGTGCAACAGTTTTAACTTAATTGCTATGGCTAGTTTATGATCAAATATTTATTATATCTGACTATCTTTCGAGTTGAAAAATTGTTGTTAAATAACAAAACCTCAACCCGCAAACATTAATAGTATTTTTTTCCAATTTAACCACCATGTGACAAATACACACCAAATTACAGTATTATAAATTCACCCCTAACAATACAGGCACAAAACAGATTTTGACCGCCAACAGCAAGCGGTTTCAATATCCCCTTGTCAAAATAATTTATTAAATCGCAAATGTGTAATACACATGTTACCGGGTGAGGCAGGGTGGTTTCAATGTCCAGCTGTTTAGTATGCGGAAGGCGCAAAGTCCACCGCGTGTGCAAACTTAGCATGTTTGCAATATGTGGAAATCTACGGACACTTTATTTCGCGGTCGCAAAAACCTAGTTTTAGTTATTGGAATTAATAAGGACCTAAAACTGTTTTGGGATGCGAAAATTTCCCGCGTGTGCAAACTTAGCACGTAATCTGCGGACACTTTATTTCGCGGGTGCAAAAACCTAGTTTTAATTACAGTGGGGAAATAATGAGAACGTAAAACTGTTTTATACGTAGTACTGTAATGTGGCTGTAGTGTTCTTCTGCGTTAGACTAAATTGGAATTAAGCACTCTTAGCCCTTGCTACTTTTCTCGGGGTTTTTCTCAGTTTTAATGGCGTTCTTCTTAAGTAAATGGCGTTATAGCGGTTGTGTTTGCTTTTTCTAATCGTGATATAGGTACATTTTTAGCTAGTTACTTTACTTTTTGTTTTATGCTCAGTAACTTTTCAAATTCAAGGATTGGACAAATATTTTTCATAAAAGTAGCTTAGGTTGAAATTGATGTGTATGTTTGATAGGATCCGAAATATTAAGTTAATTTCAATAAAATTTCGTAGAATTATATTTCCTTGAATTGTAAGTAGATAAATAGCATTCTAAAGGTATATAGAGAAAATTTAAATATTTTCTTTATCGGCTAGAAATTATATTTGTACGTACTGCGATCTTAGATTTGTATAGCTTTTTCCCCATGAACAATATTTTTAATTCTTGAATTAATTTAGCTTTCAAACCATCTCACCAGAGAAAATATACTAACTTCTTTACCGTCGTAGCACGAAGAATATAGAAATAATAAAAGAAGGAAAATGTTAGAGGGCTCTAACTTAATGGGGACCACACGTGGGGTACGTCGTTACTGAATGAAAATCAAACTTCCCCCCTTACCACCCACACTTGAGAATCTAGCTTCTCAAAAATAAAGGACATATTATTTCCGTGTCATCTTTTAAGAAAATTATAATCTTTCTATGCCTGTCATATTCACAGATCATGATTTAAAGATTCTGTTGTTAAAATGTACCCTTATCACTCTCTATTATTTAGCCCAAAATCGTCCGTAGTCATTTAACACGAACATTCATATTTTTTTGCGATTTGACGACAAAAAAAAACTAAAGGCACTCAGGTACAGGTATTATGCTCTTTTCCAAACCAAACCACATAATGTCGAGTCTATCACATTCAAAGTTGTCACATGTGTTTTTTTTTTTACCGTACAGTTGACAGAACTGGCAGTCACTAGTTTTTCACCATGGACCAAGTACGCGCCAACTACGCTCTAGTTTTCAAACATGAGCTTGTTAACCGCGCCAAAGTTGGGTCAACTGAGGCCCCAATTATTTTCTAAACGTCATTATACGCGCCCAACTTTTCCCTCCATTATTTCAGCTGGACTCGTTATGTCTGTTTGGAGTCAGTCGGCGAACATCCTCGCCATTGTCGACTACATCGACCGCGACCTGTCTTCTCTACCTCGCCTCTTTATATTTAAATATTATTTTGAATTTGAAATATTTGTATGTTGGTATTTCGTAAAAGATTTCAACCATAGCTGTGTTTTAAGTCGGTATTCTGTTGGGATTATTTGTAAGTTATAGCTATATAGTAAGTTATTTGATGAAATTAACTATTTACATCCTACTGCTGATGTATTTCGAATATCGTCATAGCGTACAAAGAAATTATTCAGAAGGTTTGATATGTACCACAAAATGTAGGTTAAGCGGTGACTGATTCAGTTTTAGATTTTCCAAGAGTGTAAGCAATATGGATTACTTTGAATTTAATCAATGTGACTAATTGTTATCATGTACTGTTTGCCTATATCTAACGGTTGTGTGTTTTTGTTACAGAGCCCAGTAACTACGTGTGTTCCACCTGCAAGTTACGACTACACTCTGCCTGGAGACTGGTCCAGCATGTACAGACGACCCACGGTATCAGACTGTACGTAGAGTCGTCATCCACATCATCCTCCCCTGCAGCCAGCACCGGGGCGCCAAAAGCCAACCACTCCACAGGATCATACTCCAGCTGTTCAGCGTCCTCTTCCTGCTCTAGCGGGTCGGGAAACGGGAACGGCGGGCCTACCACTCCCTCCCTGGGCCTACCCAGGCTGGGACTCCCTCCCACGTCGCCCTTGGTAGACCCGCATCACCCTCTGCATCACCCCTTCGGCGTGGGAGGACTGTTGAGAATGCCGCTTGGCGACCCTTCCAGACACCCGACGTTCCCACCGACCTCCGCGTCCACCGCACTTTCGAGTCACCTCTCCCACTCGAACCCTCTGTTCGCGAGACCCTCTAGTCACCCTGACCACTTCCGCATGGAGCGGTTGGTCTCTGAACAGATCCGCTTGAACCAGCATCACGCCCTTGGCCTGGCCACTGCTGCAGCCGCAGTCGCCGCAGCCGGGGGTGTACCACCACCTCACTCGCCCTTCCCTCCTCCAGCAGACAGACCTCCCATAGTCCCTCCGACGTCTTCGTCACGGTCAGTCCTTCCTCCACCTCCTGCTTCACTACCGCTCTCCCTCGAGCCCCAGCTGGATTTCTACTCCCAGAGGCTAAGACAGCTCGCCGGAACGACGAGTCCGGGAGCGGCCAACGGCAGTTCTTCTCCTTCTCCGAGGAAACTTTCACCTCCTTTTACTAGTCCCAATAGCAACCCACCCACTTCTGGCCCTTCCCTGTCCACCAGCAATAACAACAATAATAACAATACCAGCAACAACAATCACGTTACTCCTACAAGAGGGGAATCTGCTACTCCACCAGAGAAACAGTCGCAAATGGCTGAGACCCCGACGACCAACTCAACTGAGCTCACATCTACCCCGAGATCGGCATCCAGTCCTCCCACCGGCAAACCCTCCGAGACCTCTGAATCCGCCGCTGCTGAAGTCGAGGGTCGATCGAGAGCTTGCGAGTACTGTGGGAAGAGGTTTAAATTCCAGAGCAACTTGTTGGTTCACAGACGCACGCACACGGGTGAAAAGCCGTACAAATGTTCTGTGTGTAATCACGCCTGCACACAGAGTTCCAAGCTCAAGAGGCATATGAAGATTCACCGCAGATCTAACCAGGGAAACGGGGCAGCCGGTGGCGAGGAGGGCGCGGTGGCTACCAATGGTAGTACCTCGGCACCGGACCAAATCTCGAACGCAGGGTCTGTCGATACGTTGGACGACGAATGCGAAGACGAGGACAACGAAGAAATGGACGATGAAGAAGATGAAGATGACGACGAAGAAGAAGATATGGAATTGGAAGACGAAGAGGGTGACGAAGACGACGACCTTGGCGGAGACGCGCCAGAAGATCTAACGACAAAGTCTACTTCCTCGACTCCTCCCGATAGTGGGGAGAAAAATCTGAGCTCATCAGCCCGACCGACTCCGACGGCAACTCCGTTAGAAAAGGTTGCCAATTCTGGATCTCTCGTCGGAGAACTAATGGATAAGTTCGGCCTTAGCAACATCCAACAATACAATGAAGCGTATAAGCAGGCACTACAAGAATCGGTTGGTTCGCATCCATTGCCCTTTTCCAAGAAAGAAGAAATTCTGCAAAGATCACTTCTTATTTCAGACAACAACAACGGAGGAAGTAAACCTCCTCCACCTTCACTAAGACACCTAGAAAACGGGTTCCTAGACAAATCTGCTGCTATGAGGATTCGTGAGGAGTTCGCAAAAAACCTTATGACCGGCCAGCCTCCTATGGACTTAGGGAGAGTACCACCGGGTTTCTTCGGACCAGGAACACCTTTCGAGAACCCCTTTGACGCATCCAGCAAACGGATAAAACTGGAATTCGAAACACAACATCACGCGTTAGGAAGAGGTCCTGAACCGGACAACTTGTACGCCGGATTGTGGTTACCAGCGATGGCGGCCCACAGGGAACACATGTTCGGCGTCGGCAACCCGGATGACATGCTCAACCAACGGTCCAAGTCGATGCCGGAGAACATGCTTCTAAAAAACGGCCCTAAACCGGGACCGAGCGCCCCCTCGCTAGCAGCGGCCGCTGCGGCGGCGGCGATGAACCTCGTGCTTCCCGGTCAGAATATGAAGAAGGCGGACCACCGGCGGAACGACACGTGCGAGTTCTGCGGCAAGGTGTTCAAGAACTGCAGCAACCTGACGGTCCACAGGAGGTCGCACACGGGCGAGAAGCCGTACAAGTGCGAGCTGTGTTCGTACGCGTGCGCCCAGAGCTCCAAGCTGACGAGGCACATGAAGACCCACGGTCGCCTGGGGAAGGACGTCTACCGGTGTAGGTTCTGCGAGATGCCGTTCTCTGTACCGTCGACGTTGGAGAAGCACATGAGGAAGTGCGTGGTGAACCAGAACAACAAGTCCGGACACATCTTGCCCTCCATCATGAAGATGGACGAGGAGATGAAGATGCAGATGAAGATGGACATGGAGGGTCACATGATGCGTATGGAGGAAGACATGGAGAGTCGAGACGACGGAGACTCCAGCGCGTCAGCCTCCAAGGACGCCACATGACTCTTCCCCTGGGGTGGGTTCCGCCATCTGCCACTACCCTCCGCCATCTATTAGCCCTCGCCCCGGCGGAGTCATCCCAGGTGATACAAGGACACTACACACGCGTTGTTTGTCAATTCGTAACTGATACCAAAGGAATGGTTATTCTGTACGCGCGACTGCGGACGCGTATTTAACTAAGTAATTATAAGTGTTATCTGTTTTGAGCGTTTAACATTTTGATCTGTTTGTTTTCTAGTTTGTTTTAGGTTTATTTGGAAATTTTAGATCGACGAGTTTTGTTAAACAGTATTGTGTTTTCGAAAATGTTGTTTAAGTATTATCGCATTTGTTTTGCATTTGGGAAGTGTTTCGGGTTGATGGTATACGAAAAAGCATGAATACCGAATTGAAATTCCTAAATACCGAATTCTTACAGATTTTCACCCCTCTCCACCTATTACGAATCGATTTACAATTTTATACTAAACAGAGTGACGGATCTGCGTATCCTCGTACTTGATGTGTTTTACTTGTACTTAAACTAAGCCGTTACATTCCTCACACCGTCATGATTCCATGTTAAGACTGCTTGGGTTTAGGTGCTGCTTCGTAGCCTACAAGTACCAACGTTTGTTACTTACCTGTTTTGTTTTCGATACTGAGTTTGTTTGTATATTCCTTAGCTTTAGCGGGCCGAGTCCCATGTATTCTATCATTTACGTGTGTACATGTGTGTATATCATAAATAATATGTAAATCGGTTACACCTTGATGTCAAAACCTTGTATAAAGCTAGGTTATTTTCGTGTTATTTTGTGTGTTCTTCTAGTTGTTTATAGCGACCCGCCATACTGATTACTGTTAGCTCTCGGAAATAGCTATGTTATTTTTCTATTTGCAGTTACCGCACCTACAATGTGATTCCCGTAGATTTCCGGACGTTTTCTCTTTTCAACCGTCTTTAGAACGCATATCACAGGGTAAATAGATATTGTATTTATATATGTCATGTCTTTTGTAGATTACCTTTCCCGTACATGTCGATGTGTGGTGACCCGGCCATTGAATGGCTTACAACAGATTGCATTCGATTGCAAACCAGTTTCAAGAATATATTTTCATTTTTAAATTTAGTTTTGGAGAAAAAAGTCAAAAAATTATTGTGAGCATGCATTTTTAACACTTGTTAGCATTATTAATTTACCCAAGGGCAAGCAGTTTTGGTAATAAGCAAAAATGTATTCAATGTTATAAAACATACCTAAATGTCCAATCGACTGCTTTTTGTTGTAAGCCACTTCTACATTGTTTGATATCAGATTTTTATAAAGTATTATATTTTGTTATTATTCATACTTTTAACTACATTACCTTTCCATGTTTCAGTATTACAACTACTTAATTTACACTGCTACTTAAGTCAGTACTCGATTCCATAGTGTAAGATTTTGGACATTCTGTTCTGCATTGTGATATTAAATTATTTCTGTATACAATTATTTTGGATTTCTCAACTACGCTGTATGGTTGTTTATAAACTAAGGTCGTACGACCAGATCTAGTTCCTGTGCGCCGTATGGCCTGTAACATAGCGCCCATTGGCGGTCTACTGTATATATCTACAACTGTATACATTTTATTATTTGAAACCGTGTGAAAGTATAGTGATACGTTCCATATTTCATTGACTCTTTTATTTATTTATTGTATCATTATATTGTACATGTAATGTACCAAAATTATTGACCGTAGAGTTGTGTATTTATGGATAAAATATGTGAATGAAAATTTCACCTGCGTTTTATTGTGTCCTGGTTCTATAGCCTATACTGACCAATTAGTTAAGCCTGTGAAACAAATCGCCATGCAAGATTATTTTATTTGGACAAGATTTTTTTTAAACCTTGTGCTGAGTATTGCTGATCATATTTAATGTTAAGATTAATTACCGGTACCATCTGGATTCTCTGTTTTATTCAATAGATTGACATTTGTTGAATAACAAAATTAATATCAGCATGGCAAAAGTGGCAACGCAGAGATAATAACCAAATAATAAACCAAAACAAAAATAAACCAAGGCGTGTTATTTTAGTTTTTGATTTAGCAAAAAATACTGTCACTAGAAAAATTAAAAAAATATATATATCGCAAATTAGTATATCTTAAGCAGAAAGTTAATTAAACACGTCTGATTACACTTGATATATATATTTACACTTATAGTGTGTTGGTTAACTCACAAGACGGTAATAGTAGTTTACGCAACGATTGCGTAAAGATAGTGTTAACGACACGAGTAGAAAATTTAAGGTACGAGCCTTGGCGAGTGTCGTTAACACTATTTACGCGAGTTGCGTACTCTACTTTACCTACGACGGTGTTATAATTACTAAAAATCACTACTCATAACTTCTAAGAGAGGTTATGTTTTTGTTTATAACCTCTAATTGCCACTGACAGTGATGCAACGAAACATTATATCAAATACTAATTGCACCAATCAACAATTAAATTGGCCTGAACAGCTGATTAGTTGAATTTCGAATCATTACAATTTTGCTTCTCCTCTCTCAATCCTTGAACCTCATTGGTCCGTTACCCGTGTTGTTATGAGTAAAACTATGCTGTTATGAGAGTAAACAATGCTGTTATGAGATCCTTTTCATTTCTAATAACTGTACTGAAACGGCTACTTTAAAAAACGGTCGTAGGTAAACATATAAAAGATGGTAAGTGGAGATCGTTATCGATTGGACACTCCAATCATCATCAGACCCTACATGTCAATAGCGAGATTCTTTCTGTAAATTTAATAACACGCACAAAGCTGATGAAGAAGTTATTTACACATTTAGGAAATATTATTATTGATAGAATAAAATTATTACCTTATCCAACCACGTTGGTATGTCGGCTTGTTTCGCCACAAACAACCATGAAAAATCAGGTGTCTATAGAATTAACTGTGACGACTGTCCAAAGTACTACATCGGCACAAACTGGAAGATCTTTCAAAGATTTAAAGAACATATACCTAAAAGATCACTACATCAGTAATCCAGTTATGCCGAACATTTAATATCAATCGGAATCACATAACTACACATCTATTGATAAGAACATGGAAATAGTTGGAGTATTAACTAAACGTTTTAAGCTTGGTGTTATTAAAGAAGAATTCACCATCAACAAAGCTAAACAAACTCGACCCATGTGCCATTTTAAATCATCAGACTTTTTTCCAGTCAAATATTATATTTTGTACATATATTGACAAGATTCTAATCAAAGAAGTATACAATAAGAAGAACAAAACAAACTGAAATACAGGTGGCACTGGAGAGAAGAAGAAACATCATGATTCGGTCAGTTTTATTTAGTCAGTGGCAGTAAAAGACAGTTCTGGCCAACCTGTATATTTTTAATCAGACTTTTTCTCAATTAGTACTTTCTATTTCACTATTTTATCAACATGACAAGTTTCAATTATTGTGATTGTGACCGTTTTTTAAAGAATCTATTGACATACAACAATGTATCAATACATTGATGATGTGGTTAAAAATGACCTAATGAAGTTGTAAGGAACGAAACAACTGTGGTTGGATAAGGTAATTATTTTATTTTATCAATGATATATTCCAACCAAGGGTCACAATGAATAATAAAAGAAATATTATTTTTTTACCAAACTAATTCTCTTAACAAAATCATTACATTTTACAAGCACATGCTTATTCTCATTTCAAAATGTATAGTATATTTTAATCACAACTACTTATATACTACGTTACTAATATTTTTTATTCTACCCGTATTGACATAATTGTTGTTTAAAATAAACTTATAAGGAAGAATATTTTATGACCAAGAGAGTTAAGAATGTAGAATGAACAATTATTATTATATTATAATAACTGCCATAAAAGTAAATTACAGAAATTGTAACTACAAAATAAGATTTTGAACATAGTGTACAATAAGTACGATTAGACTCTATAACTATCCAGCATTTTGTACTGCACTGTGATAGATCAAAAAGTTTAAAATTCGTAACACAAAAAGATTGTAGACTAGTAGTCTGACATAAATAAATTTTATTTACTGTTTAAATTGACGTTTTTCACAATAATAACAATTAATTATTAATTAACAATTAGTTAACAAATTCTTGTGATTTGCCATAACGTATACTGTACATGAAATACGAAATACAAATGGTTAAGTAATTTAACAGTAAAACTAGTCATTTTCATAAAAGATTAAAAGAGGGAAATTTTACTTTTTAGGTTGGCAACAGTGTAATCAGCTGACCAGCCAGTTAAGTCATTCATTGTTGGTGAATTTGTTCTAGATTCATTGAACTGTTCAGTCACCTACATATTCTGTGTGTTCGCGTTTTAGGTTAGGTCGTCATTTCATTGTCATTCCTGTATTGAAGTGGACATTGATGTGTTTTTCTCTTAAGTTAACAATAAAAAGACAGGTGTTTCACAAACATAAAATACGTAATGTAAGTGATTATTTTAGTGATACACCGTTTTAAGCTACTGGATTATTTATGTTAAAACGACCATGTGACGACTAAGTTTAGTATTGACATGGTAAGCAAGTTTGGTTATATTCAAGTCAAAATTTTAAAAAAATCCTAAAATAACACTTAAGTTTTAGAATATTTACTATTTATTGTTCAGAGGTAAATAGCCCAGTGTTGATTGTTAACCTCAATAATAAATTACATTATTTGAAACAATTTAATATTGCCTTATGTCTGGTTTTATAGTTAAACTCAAAGAGAATCAGACTATTTAATTCAATAGGCATATTATTTGCAAATAAAATTAAAAGTGTGCATTGACAATGACAAATGTAGGTCAACGTATCGTGTATAGCTAGCAAGTTATACATCATAGCCTACTATTGGCTATAATTATCAGTAATGATTTGGTCTAAGTCAGATTTTTACGGAACACGATATCCATCTAGTGGATATCACGTATAAATAATAAAAAACATAGGCCTACCTATTAGGTATTTCGTGACTATGACTTATTTGCATTATTTTATTTAGTTTTTTGTTCATATAATTTTGGGAAATAACATTGATATGTTTCATATCATACTATTATGTTTGATAAAGTCTACTTTTTTAAGTTACTTTGACAACGGTTCTTTGTTTTTTACCACCAGGTTTATTACTTTAGGGCAAAACAAAAGTACAAAGTAAATATAGGAAATCAAGAGTATTTATGACGTAGAAAGATCTTAAATTGAAGTAGGGTTAACGTAAATTGTAGCTCGAATTGATGCCTACATCTTTCCCGCTGACCAAACTCAAGTAAACACCTGCATTTTTGTAACTAGAGATGCTGTTGCTTCTAAACACTGATTCGGTGCAGAAAATATTAAAATTAGCGTCCATCATTAACTATGATTCGGGTTAATGAATTTATGTTGTATTTATTCCATGTCAGTAGGTTGTATGGCTTTGTTGTTCACTACGCAGATCCGGTTTACGGTGTACAGCAGTACAGCCAATACAACCAACCTCTTAAATTATTATGTTTACACTTCCCAGCGCAGGGAGCAAGAGAGAGCGAAGCTCGGTCAATTAAGTGATTCATAACAATTTACTTCGAACAGTGAAAGGGTGAGAGCGAAGTGTGAAATGTGTCATCATTTCATACTGCACTGACGGTGGAGGCTGGTTGTTGGATGAATTAATTTAATTACTTGAGAAAAGCCTAGAGTTATACGAGTGGCCAGTCTGTATCACTATAGACCTAACAATAAGAATTTTTACTACAGGTAGAAAGGACTGTTTTATGAATTTATCAATTTAACTAGCCGAGTTCTGTGTTCTTGTTATGTCTTTCGTAGGGGGTTAGCGTATACAATGCTTATTGCAGTTATACGCTTTGCATTTGCAATGGTAGAGGACACGTTTTAAGAAAATTCGGTTTACTATAAATTACGGTATACCACATAGCACAGCAGATAAAATAGTACATCTATCATAGCCATAATGTTCTACCACTTCCCTAAACAATAGAAAGAAATGAAGTTCTCACAGGTTTTTGTCGTGGCTTGGTTTAAATTAGCTGTTGCATGACTGAAAAAAATTAATAGTGCTGCGGTTGGTAAACCTTTTAACATTTTAGCTATTGAATATCATAGAAACAAATTGTGTAGTTGAAACAGCTGGCAAAATTCTTTAATTTCTTAAGTAGAATCAAGACATCCCATCTATATGGATCAGCTGTCGCCAATTTTTTACTAAAAAAGAATGTAGTTGTGTGAGCCAGTCACAGATTGCACTAGTGTCTAAAACTCTATTTTGTACCTTATTTTTTGTTACTGACATATTTGCTGGGTCACAACAGTTGCTATAACTCATAATAAGTCATTCCATCAGTTTCACTTGTTAAAAACCATCGTGTAATCGGCAGAAATCAGTAATTTAGATCGGCGCAATCTGTAGGTGGCTCACATCAACTAAGACAAATTTTATTAATAACCTGGCTACAACTTTAACATAGGGATGGAATGTCTGTATTAATAGTCATAAGGTAGAATACTCATAAGGTTAACATGGGGAATTCAAGAGCCGATGGGGTGGAGCCCGAAAGGGCTTTTGAAGTAAGAAAAGGTTTATTTGTTAATGTAGAACCTAATCCATCATAATGCTAAATTTAAGCCCAACCCAACCAGTTGTTACTGCGCGATTGTACTTCAAACAAACAAACACACAAACCATCACATTTATAACACAATTCTTACTCAAATCG